AAAAAAAAAAAAAAAAAAAAGAAATTATTTTTAAGCCATAAGTTGTAGACAGGGGGCGGGGGCAAGAAAAATAAAAGAAATGAGAAAAAAAAAAAAAAAAAGGAAAACGAACGAACGGACACAGTGGGGGAGAAAAAGCAACAAAAAAAGGGACGAAGGAGCAGCAAAAGATGGGACGGATATATACGGAAGGTGAAGTGCAAATGGGGCATAATCCTAAACGTTCCCTTCGTTTAACTTGAAAAACGCTAGAAGATTAAAAAAAAAAAAAAAAAAAGAGAGCGCGCGCGAACACATTTATCTACTCAAAGAATACGAGTTATTGTAGCGCATCTGGTTGGTCGAATCCATACTTCCGTAAATCATATGGGCCATGTAAGGCTGTTGGGGGGTCCCCATGATGGGTTGTTGCACTGTGTAGGGTTGTGCGGGAGTTAGTTGTGGCTGTGTTGGGGCATTTAATTGCATATAATGTTCCTCTCCCTTTTTTAATTGCACTTTTAGGTGCTTGCCCGAGACGTAAAATCCATGCATGCCTTTGATTGCATTCAGAGCTGACTCCGGGTTGTTAAAACTCACAAACCCGTAGCCCTTGTTTCTTCCATTCGAGTCCCTTTGAATTCGAGCGCTCAGTACGTATCCGAAGTGTTGGAAGTGCTGCAGGGAGGGGGGTGCGCATGTACATGTATGCGTATGTATGTAGCGGCGGAAACGGTGAGGCGTTACGCCATGTTTCCTTTTGGCGCACCGGTCGGGGTGCCACCCCACGAGATCGACAGAATTGACGTACCTGGTACAATTCCATATCAGTCCAATGTGATGGCACGTGGAAAACGAACACGTTGGCACCAGGAGGACCATACGGCATGGCGGTGCCAGTCTTTCCTGGAATGACTGGGGAAGGGGTAGCAACTGTCTCCTTGGGTTTTTCCCATTGAGAATGACCAGTTACAGAATTGTAATAATATGTGTGCCCATCTGACGTTACGTGCTTTTGCCAAATGCTTTTATTTGGCGCTGGTTGTGGTTCCGTCGTGGCGTTATTCTTGTAGCTAGCGAATCTAACATCTAGTGGTCGTTGGCTGTTAGGAAATATGCACTTGTAATCCAGAGCCTCGATGGCTTTGTATGCTTCGGACCTCTGCTTGTACGTAATGAACGCCCATCCCCTGGGGCTTTGTACCGTGGCGGGCACGTAGTACACTTGGGTGATCACTCCATACTTGGATGCCTCCGTTTTTAACTCCTCCTGGGGAAAGAAAAAATAAGTAGTGCAATGAAATGGACAACGAGCTATTTTTTTTTTTTTTTTTTTTTTTTTTTTCGCATGCACTGTGCAGGTAAAACTGTGAAAAGCTAGCACCGTGAGCGAATCGCACACACACAACGTCTGTTTTAATCTCCATCCTTGTGCGTAGGGGGGGAGCAACTGGGGGAGTAGACTCACCTCTGTAACATCCTTGGGGATGCTTCCAATAAATATTTTGGTTGAATTAGCGGCGGACATTTTTTCCCTTCACAGCTTGGGCTAGTTAAAGGGGAAGAACAAAATGAAACAGTTTGAGGGAGGTTAACTTTTTTTTTTATTTTAAAAATGGCTTGTTGTCTTCTCTTTCTGAGCACAAGTGCGGGTGGAACGTGCACGCGTCCGTTTGAGAATGGGGTCTTCTAAGATTTGTTCAGAGAGCAGCGGATATAACTCTGCGTCAATTCGAGGATCAGCCTATGTCCTGTCGCTCCGCACAAAATGCAAATTTATAAAAATTATACACTTGGGTGAATAATAAAAAAAACAGGAAGATGAAAATAGAACGGTCAATAATTCAGGGCAGTTGTTCACCTAAGGTATCATTTTTCCAGTCTTGTGTTGTTACTTGCACGTTCGTGATTGTTCGAACTTATTATAAATTTTTCTTCAGAAATGGATCAGCGCGTGTCTACCTCCGTCATGCACGTTGGACGTTCATACACGTACATGCATGTGCGTACACTTATGAAAGATGAAGTTAGCGCACAGCTTGCAACTCGGGTGGGTTTTCCATCACACAATGAAGAGTTATTCTGTGCGTAATATTTAGGGCTTGTCCTACCCGTCTTTGTTCACATCTGCGCACTACCCCTTTCTACTGGTTCATATTCCGTATATTTTGTAATAAGGTTCTGCTATGGCCCAGGCAGAAAATGGAGTAGCTCGTAAAAATAACGGCAAGCAGGTTTAACTGTTGTACACCACTCAACGGTCTCTGCTCTTGTCCGTTTGGCGTTTGGTACTTGGGTCAGTCGGCGCGGTAATTCTGTTACTAGTGTGGACGTTTTTTTATTCGCCGCTAATTTTTAGCCGCTGATTGTTCGCCTCAGTGGGCATACGCTTAGGTTAACATTAAACAGGTTAGAAAAGGAGAAAAAAAAAAAAATTTAATTCGGTTCGGTTACAGTGCAGTGAAGGAAGTGAAATGGGGTTCTGAGTTTCCTTCCATTGCGTTTTGATCTAATTTTTGCCGCTTTGTATTTATAATGAGGGTTGGGTGAGAGCCGCGTCCATGCAAGGAGGAAAGAAAAACAAAAAAAGGGCATTCACCTAAACCAAAATTGCGGACCGGCTAGCTACGAACAAAAACTGAAATGGAATGAGGGGGAGAGGCACGAGCGAGGCAACAGCGCAGTCCCAAGGACAACATTCAAGTATGAACAAAAATGGAGCAGCAAAACGGAAAACGATCTATTATAAAAACAAAACCAAATCAAACAACATCCAAAACCAAGTCAAAACCAAAAGAATTCAAATGAAAACGAAACGAAACAAAATAGAACAAAATGAAAAACAAAAAATAACAGCAAAAGGGAAACCCCAAAAAATACAGATATAAATACGCGATTGAAATTTTATAGGTTCTTTTTTTTT